TCCCGAGGTCCCATCTAGTCTGCACACCAAGAAAAACGCCCGCATTATGGCACATTTATCAGATTTAATCGACCACATTCCAAGATCGGATGAACAAGAACGTAGCACACTGAAATGTTGTTGTGGTCGCAAAGACTGCGCATTTCTCCTTCATAATGGCGAGGTCTTGGACAAGTTGGAGGGAGATGTGACATTGGCGGCTCAAATGGGTCAGGTATGAATGATTTCTTTCCATCTGGTTTCTCATTTTTCTGGTGTCAATGTTACTCTTGATCTTTCTACATTCCTCAACTCCATCTTTCTTACTTTTTCCCCTTCCCTTCCCTTCACATTGTCAGACCTCAGGGGAAATTAAAAGTAGCAGAGATTTTACTTGGGGGAAGTGGATACGGTGACCTTGCTTCTTGGATTATTTACTTTTGGCCTCGATTTAAATTAATCTAATCTTCTTTCTTTGTTTACAACCCCGCGTTATCGCACGCGCTTATGTATAATTAAATGGATGCGAAGGAGTGGGGGCGCGGGAAATCAATCTTAGGAAGATGAATCAATCATTGACTTTTGCTCTGCAGGCTTTGTTAGAAAGACATGAACATTATATGCTCGATGCGGAACGAGAACGAGCAAAGATGACGGCGAAGATCGAGCAGTTGGAAGTGGATAAGAAGGAACTGGAAATGAAAAATGAAAAGACGATTGAGGAGAACAAGGCACTGCTAGATCAACTCGAAGGGCTCAATGATAGTTATGAGGAATCCGAAGTGCAGATCAAATTACTCGAGTCAACGTTACAGAGTACGCGTACCGAAATGAAACGTCTCGAAACTTTAGCTTCGAGAACATATCAACTAGAGAGAGATTTGGCAATCTTGGAGGAAGAACAGGAAACGTTACGAAAAACCATTATACATACGGCTGCAGAGGAACGTACGGCGATATTGAGATGGAAGAGAGCGGAACGAGGACTTTGTGATTTACAGGATCAGTTGGAGAGAATTGAACGAGAAGCACAAGAAGAGAGGGAACGTCATGTGGAAATTCTGGGGCGTATGGAGAGGCAACGGACAGTCGAACGAGAATTGGATACGGCTGCCTGTCGTTTGAAGGGTGCTGCTGCCGCTACATCAGGCAGAGGCAAGCATGGTACCAGCGTTGTCTCGCATTTCGTGAAGGATATTCTACAAGATAATGCGAATTTACAGCTTGGGATAGTGGAGTTGAGAGAGATGTTGATGAATTCGAATGATGAAGTACAAACATTACGAGAACAATTATTGATGCATCAACCGATGTGTGCGGAGGATGTTGACAACGTAGCTCAGCAGCGGACATTAGGGGCTGAACTTGCGCCAAGCGAACAGGATTCCGAACCACGACCACAGGAACCACAACTTATTTCCCAAGCGCTTCACATACATCACCATTACCATATACCAAAGAGAGATGAAGCGCGCAAGCCGAAAAAGAAGCGAACTTCTTTGAGTTCTGGTATTTTTCCTCCACTCACTCGAAGTCCGCAATCTCCACGAATCTCTAGAGGCGCAGAGAATGCTATATTGGCTCAAACAGCAGTCACCGTCCCAAGTCCTATTAATACGAATCATCGATGGTCAGCTCAATCGAATCAATTGTCAGAATTTGCTCCTTCATCTGTGCCATCATCTCCACAATCTATGTATCGAAGTAGTGCTCTATTCGATCGCAGTTTCGATATTGATTCATCGCGTCCGACATCGCCTACCTCAAGTATTGACCCATTGTCACCTCGAGTTCATCCTTCATATCACAGAAAGCGACCCTCTGAAGTTTCAACCCGAAGCTTTTCTGCTATTTCTAATTTTCAACCTCATAATATAATTCACGAAGAGGAGGATGACGATGATTCTCATGATATTGGAGGCCTACAATTTACTGGAGTTCCCTCTCTCACGGGCGATTCTACAAATCCTACCACTTCAGATGTTTCTGATAACACAATTGACGAGTGGATACCTCGTCAATTTGGTCCTAGGTTACATCGTTCTTCATCTCATGAATCAATTGTTTCGATTTCAGGCATCGATATTCATACGTTAAAAACTCGACCGTCACAATTAAATATGACTTCGGTCGGATCATTAATAAGACCACAATCTAGACTTTCAACTCCAACAATGACGTACTCTACCGAAACCATTACTGGTGCGTCGATGATTACAGCTCGGCCAACTTTATCTCGAACCGGTCATGATAGTACGAGTTATCTTCGTTCCAACATTGGACACTCACACTCACCGAGATCAACAAGTAATGATCGAAGTTCCATTCGATCCAGTTCATCTAACGAAGGCAATAACAGTAGTACTGGTCTAGGAAAGAAAGTCGGCGGATGGGTCTTTGGTCGTTGGGGAATGTCTCCTGCGAAATCAACAAATGATCTTAGAAGTTCCTCCAACGCTCATGTACCTGTTCCTCCACCGACTATCCGGGCTGTGAGCACACCATCTATTTCTATAACGCAAGAGCCTCTGAGAGCTATGTTGGGTAGAGCGGCGGGAATTAATCAGAAAGGACCGATTCCAGGGTTTAGACAAACGGAAAAAGCGCCTAGTAAGGTGGTGCCGGATTTGGTTGATAGAGATGCTTTGGCGGAGGTTTTGGAGGAATGATGATGATATCTAGGTATTGAGAGTCTTGGGTGGATAGTTGAGGGAAAGATTGGAGTTCAATATAATAATATGAAATCGGAGTATGGATATGGATCGATCATCTTCAACATTTCACTATGTGATGGGGAATTTCTTTTGTTAAGTTTCTTTGTTGAATTTGGAGACGGGATTTTATGGGTATCATATTGTAGAGCGTATCTTTTTCTTATATTTTTTTTTTTCTTTTCTTATCTATATATAAATTGCAGGGCGTTTGGTGGGATTATTGGGTGGATTTTGGTTGGGATGGATTGGATTGGTTTTGTATGGATACCCTATTTGCGCTTGTGTATAGATTTTATATTTCTTTTTCTTGTCTTTTTTTTGGGGGGGGAGGTTGTATGGATGGATGGATGGATTTAGTAGTCGATTATATGTTATGAAATTGGATGGATGAGATGGGGGAGATGCGATGCGATGCGATGAAGTACCTAGTATTAGAAGCTGAGATTAGATCAGAGGGTGTGGTGTAGTGTGGGTTGGTGTGGAATGGAATAGGCGGGAATAAGAAGAATGAAATGAAATGGAATGGAATCGGATTGAATAAATGGGATGGAATCAGAATATTGTGCTTGTATTGGTTGGTGACTTTATTTGTGGATGTGATGTTGGATGTGATGTTGGATGTAATGTTGGATGTGATGTTGAATATTAGATTGAATATTAGATTGTAGTAGGTAGGTAGATAGGTAATAAGTATATATCTAGATAACAAGTAGATATATATATAATAAGTAGGTAGGGTAATCAAAAACTAAATGAAAAAATTCATAATCTTAAATCTATTGATAGTTATATTTATAGTAGTATTTTATATTTAGATTTATATGTTATATTATATTTATATTTATATTTATATTTATATTATATTTAATTTATATTTATATTTATATTTATATTTATTATTTATATTATATTTATATTTATATTTATTATTTATATTTATATTTATATTTATATTTATATTTATATTTTAATTTATATTTATATTATATTTTGATATTTTGAATTTTGAATTTTGAATTTTGAATTTGAATTTTGAATTTTGATTTTGATTTTGAATTTTTGAATTTGACTTTGAATCTGCATTTTGAATTTTGCATTTTGAATTTTGAATTTTGACTTTTGCATTTTGAATTTTGAATTTTGCATTTGATTGAATATTTGAATTTTGAATTTCTAAGTTCTGAGTTCTGGATTTCTGGGTTTCTGGATTTCTGGGTTTCTGGATTCTGGATTTCTGGGTTTCTGAATTTTGAATTTCTAGGATTAGATTATTAAGTAAATAAGTAAATAACTCTTAATTACCTATTTAAATAAATAGTTTTATATTAATTAATCTATTCATAGGAGTGTTTCTGTTTCTGTTTTTGTTTTCGAAAGGGAAAAGGGGAAGGGGAAGAGAGGGGAAGGAAAAGGGAGAGAAAAGAAATATTGTATTATTTATGTTATTATATTAAATAAAAAGGAATATCTAGGTATTTATTTATTTATTTATTTATTTATTTATTTATTTATTTATTTATTTATTTATTTATTTATTTATTTATTTATTTATTTATTTATTTGTTTATTTGTTTATTTATTTATTTATTTGTTTATTTATTTATTTGTTTATTTATTTATTTATTTATTTATAATAGTAATATATTCCTTTTTATAAATGATAAAATATTAAATTTAAAAAATTAACTAAAATACAAAAATTTATCGTTTATAGTTTATTATATTATACTATTAATGAGTATGATTATTTAAACTATTCATTATTAATCACTATTATCTATCTATCATTTATCTATCTCTTTACGGCTTTCATCTAACTATCCATCTATAATCTCTCCATCTATCCACCTCCCCACCCATCTCTACTCCCTTTCCACCCTCACTTTTACCCAAAAGCATTTTTAAGCCACTTTTTAAGCTTCATCTACCTACCTAGTATCTATCTTTCGACCAAGTAAAAGCAGAAAGTAGAATTAGGAAATTCAGGTTTAATAATAACATTCATCTCAACGCTGTGATTTCATTCTCCATCATCTCCATCATTTATCTTCTCTCTTCTATTTAACGCCATCGTAACCTCACCATCCAAATCCAAGACCATCGCTCGTTTCGTTTCGACTTCAACTAACCATTAAGATTCGTATCGAATATCTAAACCTAACAATTGCTGCAGCGCTATTTGAACCTCCTCCACGACATGCGAGGATCGTCGAAAAATTCATTACCCATTACCCATCACCCATTCGCTATCTATCATCTATCTTCCATCATTTATCATCTATTACCCATCAAGTACTTTCCATCTATCTATCTCCGGAACGATCCCCCAATCGACAATTTCGCAATCGGTATATCGTCCACGCCCGCTTCTCTCATCGTCTCCACATCCTGCTGTTTCGTGTCGTTAGTTCGATACATCGCTACCCACAATCTCACTGTTGCACTCTGAGATAGCTTGCGAGAACTCACTGTCGTGTTTCCGTTTCCGGTTCCGGTTGCCTGAGATTGGTTTTGTGGTTCTGTCGTACTGTTGGATGTGGATGTAAATGTAGATGTGGATGTCGATGCAACCGAAGGCGACTCTAAATTTGCAGGTGTTGTGAAAGTAGCAAGTGCATTTCTTCTGTGTTGATCTGTGGGATTCTCATAGCCTCTTGGTCGCACATTACCAGAACGTGTTGCGGTACTGTAACTCGAATTCATCGTCACGGCATTATCACTTTCTCGATTTTCATATTCCAGATCGCCTGTAGACATGACATTGGATAATGTGCTTCGGCTACGCACATTTCTCCTCGCGGTAAAGGTATCCAGATTCATAGCTGGATCGGGTAGATGTGGACCCATATCTACCGCCTCATCATCCGCATCTGCATCCTGATTACTTGCAGGCTCGATTGAACGTATCATGTTTCCAAAGTCTCGAAGGGAAGTTGAGGCGGGACGACCCGGTAGTGCGTCCATGGCGTTTCTTCGAGAACTACGGTTCCTTCTGGTGATCCCCTGTATACGAGAGGAATTTGCCGGAATCCGGTGTCTTCGAGGTAGTCTGCTTGCTCGAATTCTGCTGCTTGAATCGAGTCCGGTGACGGCATGTACTACCTCAGATATCGTGGGGGGCTGAGTATCCATGGCATCATCAAATGAGAGGGTATCCATTCCTGGGATGGCGACTGCTTGTGTTTCCTCAGCTAACGTGGGGAGGCGAAAACTCATGGTAACATCATGTGATGAATTCATTCCATACCCCGTAGGGGATAAAGAATTGTTATCTAGCAGCTGTCGTCGTCTGCAAGAACTAGATGAAGCAGAGAAACCAGTAGAATAAACTGTAGTATTCATTGCGCGATCAGATCGGGGTTCAACCAAATCGGGATTTTCAGCTCGCTCGATAGCTCTTCGCTGAAGAAATGATTGTATTTGACGCTGGACAATTGGGTTTGGGGAATTTGAGGGGGTGTCAATTCCTGCAGTATTGTATGTGGTATTTTCGGGAACAGATTCCATGTCGGTATCTTCAGAAGGGCGGGGAATGTGAGAACCTGGAAACGAGGTACCATTGGAATCGGGAGAAGAGGTTGATGACATCTTGAAGAATATCGGATTGGTTGATTTGATTGAGATCAATCGTGGTTTATGTAAAAATAAGGAAAGCTAGATTGAGTAGTAGCTGTGAGGATTGTCTTGGATCGAAAACTTCGAGTTCGTGAGAAAATCGAGTTGAAGAGAAAGTTTAGAATTTCTCGAAACTGAAGTAGACACAGTAGAAGTTGAGATTATAGTGAGGATGAAAAAGTGAATATACTCACTCAAATAGTGTTGAGGTGAAGTTGACACAAATTCTACACCTCAAAGTATCGCTGTACTTTTCATTCAATAGAAAACCACTTTTACCATACCACACAACCTCTTCTTCCCTTCAAAACGTGTTGCAAGGATTCTAATCGTTGGAAAAGAAAATCTATATTGTCTTTTATCCAAAAATTGGAGAAATGAATGAACAGTGAGTGGTATAATGAGCCTATTACAATGATAAGCTGTCCGATCTGAAGTTTCCAGAAAATAAACCTTAGTAACAATGCTGATGAAAATATGCGTATGGATTATTGACTTACAATTCCGTAAACATGGGCAGAAAAAACGAAAGAAATAAGATCACACTTGCTTCAGTCTTTCCTGCACGGTACAATTTCATTTTTGAGGAAAGCGCAGCAAAGTTGAGTATGAAGTTAGGAAGTCGTTCCTACCATATCCACATTCACATATCAGTAACTATTTCGACAGCTTCCCTTTCCCCAAGTCGTGAGTCAAATTCCAATATGTTAGAAAGCTTAGACACGAATGAAAGATTATTTACTACATATCTGTTTTAGTACTGAGATGAATAGCAACCTTAACAACAACAAGATATGATCACAGCTAGAAACGCCACGATCCTAGATACCTATGCAACAAACAGCCTGATTCAAACACGGAATTTGGTTGCACGTCTAATGTTGACCCAGACACCCCTTTGAAAATCCCATTCTGTCTATTTATATCTATACCAAGGATTTTGAAACTTGATAAAAATCTTCAGAAGAAGCAAAAATTTGATAATCTCCAAAGACGGACTTGATGACTCATGTATATGACGATGTATATGCAGATAAAATGAGAATCAATTACGATTTCCAAAAATTCTCACCGGTAGAATAAATCGAAGCTCGAGAAAATAGGGGTATAATCTTATTTTTGTTGCACATCTAATGATATCTTGACACTCGGTTTCGGAAACGATGGTACTCCTTTTCGATTACATTTCTTGCTTTGAAAAATAAACAGATATATTTAAAAAAGGAAAGATTGTATTTCGTGAAGAAATCATAAAGATATAGCAAATCGTTGATTCTGTATCTCTTGTCGAAGTAAAACTTGTGAGTATTCTCACGTATCAACACCGAAATTTGAGTTTGAGCAAGCGAGCGAGCGAGCGAGCGAGCGAGTATTGTTTAGTTGCACATCTGATGACATTCTAGCATTCTAGCTACTCGATTTTAAATGCTCACTAACAACTTTATATTCATCTCAAAGTGTATGGAAAACTTCAGTCATATTCGAAATTATTCGAATTACAGTACAACCAAGTATCGAAGATGCTGATAGGGCGGTTACCTGCTGACAACTCCCCAAAGACGAAATCGATGTGAATCTAGAAACTAGCGCTGAAAACAAGCTTTTCGTTAGTCACTCTATGCTTTGTTCATGTGTGAGGCTCTTCAAGCATAATAATTCGATCAATTCCAATATCGCAATTCCAATTCTTACAAATCTTGAAGGATGGAATTCGAATTGACCAGTACATACCCCCGCAAAATCTTAGTAGCATTGCCTCAAAAATGAGAATAATTTTAGCATTTCTAATTTGGTATACTAACTTTCCCTTGATTTTAGAGCTCTTTATTGGACTTGCACATCGCAGTTTGGGTTTACTAGCAATTAACACTGGATTATGGATGTTGAAGCTGCTGTACGCTTGGTGAGAGAAGAAGGACGACAGAGGGGAACAAGTTAAACAAGTTAAACAATTTCATCAATTCTTTCTACTTCTGCGGTACAGGTAGAAAAATAATAGGCCAGGAAGAATTGATACAATACGAAGCAAACGAAAACGCATAACGATGATACTTTTCGATATCACATCAATAACCAAACACAAAAAACGATGACAAGAGCGACAATTAGAGACACAAATTGTATCCATCTCCTCTGGACCCTTGATAAACAGCTTCATAGCCAAGAATGATAAATCACACAACTTTCCTCAAAAGTACTACCTCCATCAACCATTTACTCGCTCTCCTTAACAATCTGCTCCAACGTCTTCACATAGTCATGAACCTCTTGTGCCCCAGTCAAGGTTATATCTCTCCTCTTACCCTCAACACTAACAACCGGTACACTATCCACACCATTTCCCTCCGCCTCCCTAATCAAATTCTTCACATCCATCAACCCCTCATATTCATCCTCAATGATCTTCTCTGCTTCTCCCTCATCCACTCCCGCTTCCTTACAAGCCGCAAGTAATGTTTCCTTACTACTAGGATGCTTCTCTTCTTGGAAATACATTCGATACAACGCCATGACGATCTTATCCGCTGTCTCCGGACCACCACCTTTCACATCTTCTTGTTGAAAGTGTTGAACAACTCGATGAGCATCAAGAGTATTGGCAACTGTACCACCGAATTTGTAATCTATACCTGCGGATTTCCCATATGCAGTCATCAACTTGATGTACATTTCCATCTTGTCCTCAGAATCTCCGTAACGGGATTTGCGATACCAAGCATGTTTATCTTCGCCTTCTTTGCTGGCTCCGGGATATAATTGATATGGTGAAAACTTGATGGTGAAGTTAACTTTCGAAGCTGCATCTGTTGAACGGACGACACGGAGTGCTATAGCGATTGTCAGTAAATGGAGATGGGTGTATGGACCTGAGTGATTGTGGGGGCGGGGGAAAGGAAGAGACGACGTTGATCATCATCACGTGAGTGCTATCCTTTCCCAATCCATTTCCCATATTTTGGATATTTGGGTATCATTTCAACCGACTTCTAATGGAAGAAAAGCCCAGTTCTTACCTTCATCCAATCTAAGTAACGTTGCTGCAGTTAGTAATCCGTATTCTCAGACTTCCAATAATAGTCCCATGAAATATTGAATATCCTTACCTCTTCTTGGCAAGATAAGTCCTAATTGTGACCAACACGATCAGTCATACTCTTGATCTCGTATTCCATCAAACTGCGCTTGGGTAATCACCCGCATATGCAATGTGCTGATGGTGAAAATGGCAATGAATCAAGAAAAAGGATAGAAAAGGAAGGAATGTAGAGGGTTTACGGAGACGACTTACCATGGACAAATGGTATCAAAGGTAAACGTGATGGTAGAATCGTACATGGTGTTGGCGAGAGTCCTGAATACGAGGTCTGGGGATCTTTTTGGGGCGATGCTACCAAAGTATGTTTGTCGTTGGACCCGAGGTTGTTTTCTATGTGAGAATGGAAAGGTGGGATGGGATGTATTGATTCGAGATGCGAAGATTTGAAATGGAAGTAGTTGTTATATTTTGTAAAGAGGAAATGTTGGGAAAGTTCTTGGGTTGTAGATTATATGATGTGTGTGTAATTCATTGAAATGAAGGGGGCAAATGTAGATATGATGTCGATGTCGATGTCGATGTCGACTGTTCGGTAACTCACGCCATTTCTCAGTCTACTTCAAGAACTACCCCGCGATGAATAAGCGGATCAAAGTCTCGTCGCTAGCCAAACATATTTCATTCCAGCCACACCACTATCTTTCATCATGTTGTACCTACCACCTGTTGATTTTCTTTCCTTTCCCTTCGCTCAACCGACCGACAATCTTTTTCTGAATACCATCGCTACAGAATTCTCAGAATGCCAGATACTGAGCACTTCAAATGCAGTACAACCCTGCGAGCCTGCCAACAAATGGGTTATCAAAATGCCAAGGGATATTTCCATCTACTCATGGCTTGAATTGACCCGTACAATCAACTCATCCGGTATGGATCGATTCAGCATCCAATAAATGGAATGATGATAAGTACGAGGCATTATCCTATACCATGCCACTATTGATGAATCTTCGGCACAACTCGGTGTCTTTTCTCATCTTCCTTGTTCTTTCAATCAATATAGACAAATTGAATTCATGATACGAGAGGGCAAACCGGAGTCTTGCTAGAAACAGTCTCATATCTGAGACAAAAAAAGGTACAAAGGCACGAGGAACCTAGCCCTACAATCGGAAGTACCGAGTCTTGGGTGAGAGGCTTAGCTTTTGGAATCGTTGAGTCGTGAGATATCATCATGTTTGATGACATCTGATTGACTATTTGCCCATCTCTTCTTTTCTTTGCTTACTTAACAAGATATTTCTTATTTTCCTGCCTTTTTGTTCTACTCAGAAAGACCCATGAAATCCCGCATCTTTCCTGCAGGGGATTAATGAACACGATAGAAAAACGCAGGAGCGCCTCGTCTCTTGGTCCCGCCTAAATACATGTATAGTAGGAGGAAAGCTACCGTATTTCCATATTGAGCAATATACACCTGCCAGTCAAGTTGATCAGCAGTTACTTCTTGCCTCCCACGCAATGTCCATATAAAATAAAATCCCCCTCTTTCCCCAAGAAATTCTTATCTCCTCTTACATCAACGTACATATCACTTTCCGAAAGAGATATTAACATAACAAAGCGCATAGTCGCATCGAACCTTACTGTCTGTCGTTAATTTTCAAAGTAAACAAAAACATCAATCATCTACACAATCGTTTTGTCCCACACTCAACACTTACCACAATACCTAGTACTCTTGGAACTCAACTCCGATATCTAGTGGATGAAAGTTTTGGTTACAACGATAATCAATTCATAAAATACTGAATCAAAGATCAAAAACAATGAAGTCGATCGCTACTCTTAGTGCAGCGATTGCTGCTCTTGCTGGTATAAGCAGTGCTCAAGTTACCTAGTCAGTTACCCCTCCAGCCCTAGATCAAGACTACAGATCTTCTGTTCCTTCATCAGGTTCAACTGAATTAACATCACTGCAGTGACTCGACTACTGGAACCTTCTCGTGCCCTATTGCCAATGGTGCTTACTGCGCAAGTTCATCTCTCGGTGGTCCTATTATCATTCGATGTACAAATGGCATTGGTCAACCCGGGAACTGTGATGATAACCTTGCCGGATACTTTCCTTATGGTGTGAACTATTCGCCATGTTGGGAAACTAGTGAGAAGAGTGGTGATGCTGCTTGTTCTAAGAAGTATGTTATTATATCTCATCCTTTTATCTCGTATTATAGCTTCCACCTCTACTCTCATCGGCCATTCTTGAACTCTTTCATTTCATTTCATCTTTGACTATTGATCTTGAATATCACACAACTAACAATTCATAGCTGTATCGTCCAAGGTGCCTCCGGTAACTTCAACGGTACATTTACCCTTCCCAACTGCACACCCATTCCAAACCCCTCCGCTACCTCATCTCTCAACGGTTCAACAACTACAACATCGACCGGTACATCAACGATTATCGAAGGTTCAACAACCGAACTCATAACCTACACTACAACATTCTCTCCTACATCTACCCCAGTAGTTCTTCCACCTGTCACATCACCCACTGACCCAACTACAATCGTAATTCCCCCATTAATCACAGCCCCTACTGTCTCTGCAACTCCTATTATCGACCCATCATCAGGTCTTACCACTGTCATTTTCTCATCCGGTACCGCTGTCAGTACCGCTGTCGGAACTGGTGGCTCGGGAGGAGGTTCGGGTGGTGGATCTGGCGGTGGATCAGGTGGCGGATCTGGCGCTGGTAGCTCTGGAGTCCACAATGGTACAACTAGCGGATCAGGTTCCGGCGGAAGTGCGACTGCTACACCCGTTGGACCAACCAAAACTGCTACTGGAACTGGTGCGCCTGAATATACAGGTGCTGCTAATATTCTCAGTGCAGGTGGTCTCGCAGCAGTGGGTGCTGTGCTTGCTTGGTTTCTTTAAGTGTTTTTATGTTGAGGAAACGGCATGAAATGTGGATGTGAAGGAGATGAGAGATGAATATATGATACACTCCTTATTCCTGATGAAGGTATTTATGAAGATGATGGAGGACTTTTTGGCGATTTCTTACACAGTTTTGGAAGATGGTTTTGGACGACATACATACACACCTATGACGGATACGCATGATATATTATGACTTTACGAGTCGACGACTCTCCTTAATGATAATTTTTTGGCAGCAGGTTATGCGAGAATGAGAAGGTTTAACGATTTGAATGGGTATTCTCTTAATCCAAAGTGGAATGAGATTGGGGTGGGAGTTGTAGTAGGAGTATGAATAGATATGTGAATGTATGTCGTGGAAAGAAGTGAGATAGAAAGTGATTCGGGATTAAGGAAGCGGTATAGTTTATCAACTCAATGATATGATATCACAATGAAAAGTGGATGAAATCTATCTATGCAGTGCGAGGACTAAAGAAGTAGTCATCTTCTATATTCGTTCAACTATGTGCTTCTGCTGCTTGTATGGATAGTGTATTAGGAGAGAATCTGTCTTGCTCATTGTGTGCTATTACTTGATACACGATAAGTATGTAGAAGTTATACATTTTGCGTATAATTGATGAATGGTAGGTATTTGAAATACCAATACATACACATATATATGTGTATATATATATACATATGCACATACATATACACATACATATGCACATACATATGCACATACATATACACATACACATATTCAAAGCTAGGTAGGTAAACTTGGAAGCTACATGGTACGATATATATGATGATACATATAATATACATATAATAATAATACATAACACACACAACAGAACGAATAAAACATAACAAAACACAATGATATCAAAACACAATAATATCCAAAAAAAATCAAGAGTTCCTTTAAGGTTAATCTGCCTATTCATTTATCTATTCATTTATCTATTCATTTATCTATTCATTTATCTATTCATTTATCTATTCATTTATCTATTTATTTATCTATTCACCCACTCATCCATCCATCCATCCATCCAATCAACAAACCAGCTAGCTACCCTAAAATTAACAATTTCAACTTCCACAAGTGTCAAGAGCATAACTTACAGTAGAGTACAGTACAGTATAGTATAGTATAGCTAGCAGACCACCAATCCATTCATCTACCCACCCATCTACCCACCCACAATATCAACCCCCTCACCTCATCTATCAAACTTGAAACTCCCCAACCACGCCCACACCTGCACCCATACCCACTCAACAGCCGGATCAACATAAACATCAAGATCAAAATCATCATCATCATCATCATCATCACCATCAGAGGAAAAAAAAGGTACAAAACATTAATATACATAATTTATTCATCTTATTCATCTCAATGCTATTCATCAATTCCCTATCATTCAATTCCAATCCGTACCCGCTTCCATCCTGTTACAATGTATTGTATTCACCACGACCAGAATCTCCATACAAACAAGCTCCTTCGTGCAAACAAGCTCCCCTACATGCAAACGAGCTTCCTCAAACAAGCTTCCTCCTCCCCACAAATCATCCCCCCCCCCCCCTCCAACCCATCTTTTCTTAATTAAAAAACTCCCAAACTCCCAGTAAATAATTTCGTGAATGAAAGACGTCAAATTAAATTATAGTAGTGTTTATATGCGTATCAATGAATGCGCGGTCCGCCCACAAAAAGGATACTCCAGATTGTTCTAGCTTACAGCCCTGCTGCCACAAGAACGCCTAATCAACTTTCAGTATATCGAATGAAAGGCTTCGGCTAGAGTTATACGATTCGCATTATGCTTTTAAACGAATGAGGTATGTATAGTTGTTTGCGCAGTGGGTATGCATCATGGAAAGACATGTGACAAGAAAAAAATAAGAAAAGAAAAATGCTCCGGCCGACCTCGCTGCTATGCAATAAAGGACAACTTCAAACGAAGGAAAGAAAATTGCAGTGAAGTAATAAAAACTCGTCTATTCGTATAATCCGCTCCTTATGTACCCAATGAGTGGTATGAATGATTTTTTCATTCTCAACACTTTTCGTTTCATACATTACATGATCTATAATGCTCGCCGACTACTCATAGCTGCCGATGCCCCCGCTGATGCTAAATCCTGTTTCGAGCTGACACTTCGTGTGACTCGGGGCAAGCCGCTACTACCAGAAATTGCCACGGTTCCAGTACTTGTACGTTTCGGCCCAGGAGGTCCAGTCAATGTTGTGGCATTGGATTGTCTCCGAGGAGGAAGAGCTTTACTTGGACTTGTCCCAGCTGCGGGTGGCCGAACAGATGAACCACTCTTGTAAGCAGGTGGTTCTGGAAGGGGTCTATTGGAAGCAGGTGCAGCGGTGGTATTGTGTCGCTTTATTGGCGAGTCGATTCGAGTATTGATACGAGGTGGAGCAGCTGCCTTTTGACCAGTGATAAATTCATGCCTAACAGCTTCATCAGGCTTCAGACGCTTTTCAGGATCCCACCTGAGACAACGTGCCAAGAAGTCAAGGAAAACTTCGTCATCGCACTTGATGGTTTGCTGAAGAGATCTCGAGGATGGTCGACGTCTGCGTCCCTTTGAAGATACCGTGAGGCGTGGTTTTCCGAGAGAGTCAAAGAAAAGCTTTTTGCGAGTACTTTTTTCAATCAAATGCTTTTCCGGCGGACCAAACACTTCCATGATGCAGGCGAGTTGTTCCTGTTCGTTTTCACCAGGAAAGATGGGCACTCCAGTAAAAAGCTCCGCCAAGATACATCCAAGACTCCACATATCTATCGGCATACCATATGTCATACCAAGGATAACTTCAGGCGATCGATAAAATCGGGATTGAATGTACGTATATACCTTCTCGTTCTCGAAGCAACTTGACCCAAAGTCAATAACCTTAATCTCTGAATGAAGAGGGTGTGCGAGAAGAATATTTTCGGGTTTCAAATCACAATGAATGACTTTCTTTGATTTCAAAAGCAACAAACTGCTAAGCATTTGCTTTGTAAATCGTCGAACGATCTTGAGCGAGAACCCCCTAAAAGAATGAGCTTTGATGAGCTCATAGAGATTCATATCTAAAAGTTCAGTAGAGATACAAAGATGACCACGGAAGTAGAAGCTTTGAACAAAGTTGACCATGCTGTGCTTGTTTTTGGGATCCTACAAATGTTAGCAGCTTACTAGTAGGGTGGAGCGATGGAAATGACATACCCATTCGCGCAACTTTTGGAGGATGTTAACCTCTACCAAAGCTTGCTGATGGAATCGCTTCTTGTTCCGGATGATCTTGATAGCTACTAATCCTCCAGTCTTGTGATCAATACATCTTACGACTTGACCAAAACTTCCCTTACCAAGAACATCGATAATTTCATAACGATATGAGAGATGATCTCCAGTGGCAATTTGATAATCCCCTCTTTCATCATCGTACCCGAAATTGGCCGCATCGGATTGAAGTTGACCAACATGTTTGGCTGCACTAGATGTCCCACAAAAGTAAATGTCCTTGTAATCGACAATTTCCCCTTTCTCGTAAATGTTGAGATGCGAGACAAGTTTGAGAGCCTGTTGAGGGTTCGCTCGATCCTTAGGAGTAGCACGTTTTCTTAGAGCATCTAATTGACGAGCTGCTGTCTCTGTTTCCTTTCGTTTATTGCCGAGTTTCTTCATCTCCTCTTCCGCCAGAAGATCATCCTTGTCCAATTCCGATGTCCAGTGATCTTGATGTCTAATACTAGTACTAGAGGCCTTTGGATTGAGCATTCTATGCATAACAGAAGACGTAGTTCGAGAAGTCGCGGTTGGGATATTTCTCTCAGAAGCCATAGAGTCAGTTGATGTCTCTTTCTTCGGACTGTTTCGATTCAACCCCCAGCTATCACTCTTTGTTCTGTCATGACCCGTAATCATATTAAGGCTCGAAACTGAGCTCTTCCTTCGACTGGAATTGAGATAAGTAGTAGTAGTGGTTGACTTGACCGAAGGACTAGGACTGGGAATTTCTTTGTTGTTGCTACTCATATTGTTCATGGTAGAAGAAGCAGGCAATCTAGGCGGTGGCATATTATCATGTTTTGGCGGAGGAGGTGGTTGGTTGGCTTCTCTTCCGCCTGTTGCTTGAGCATTGCTGGCGGCGTTCTTCGATCCAGATCGCTTCCAACCAAGACTCAACTTTCTTCGCAACGAGGTTGTTGAAGATGGTGTTGGGGGTTCTTCCGGACTTGAGACTTCCGCAGGAGTATCTGTTTTAGCTAATCTATTCACCTTCAAGGCACGTGGCCCAGTCAATCTTGCCGGCTTGTTTTCAGTCGTCGAAGTGTCCATTGTAGTGAAATCACCACTAGTTTTGGACCGAGGCATGAGATGCTGGCCAGCGTTGTTCTTGGGAAGAGATGAGGATAGATATGGGGAGGTTTCCCTAGGCGGTGGTGGACGGTTAGCTATAGGTATGGGCTTCGTCCCACTGTTACTTCCAAATACTTGCGAAGATTCCGTAGGTCTATGATGGATAGAACTATTGCTCCGCATTTTAGGCGTATGGTGCTCCGGTTTGTCTTCGTTACGACGGGAAAAGAACGAGGTCTTGGAAGCTGTCATGGGTGAACTTGGGGTCTTTGTATTTGTCCGCTTAGGCGGAGGTGTAATGGCACCATTTGGTAAAGGCTCAGGGTTGGATATGGCCGCAGCCTTTGCAGCAGTAGGAGCGCTTAATGGTAACAAATTCAAGGGTGGCAGACGAAGTGGTTGAAGGTTCTTTTTCTTGGGAGTCGCAGTATTTTGCTTTTGCTGTTCAAGATCTGAATTCGAGCTAGGTGGCGCATGCCTCGACCTCTTTGGCTCTCGTTCAATCTTGGTTGGTTCACGTGCAGAGTTCCTACCAGAAATGCTATTTGTTGAAGTACTGTTAATACTACTAGCATCAAACGGCATGCTTGATTTCCTCTTGGCGAAAAATGGAGTTTCGATAGGAGAATCTTTGGGGGATTCATACGCTTTGGGTATCGCAGGAACTGGCGGAACATCTTCCTCCTCATTATTACCAGCTGAGCTATGAACATTTCGTGACTTGGGTGTTGGTAACCTTGATGTCGTGGGGGCAAGTGACGACACTCGAGGCTGTAAGGAACCTGTAGTATTTCGAGATGTGTTACAGCTTGAACTCGACGCAGCTGAAATAGCAGAATTGTACTTACGGTTACTATCCGGAGTAGTTCGAGATGATGAAGGTGTGGGCACCTTTCGAGGTAACATTGAAGGGGACCTTGAAGACCCTCGAGGAGTAAATGCCGGATACGAGTCAGGCTGTGGAGTTGGCGGTGTACCTGGCGAAACAGTAGGATTTCCTTGATGAGTCGATAATCGTTTGGCTCTTCGAGTATCTGTAGGGCTGATGGTTCTAGCCCCAAGTCCACTTGCATGGGAAGTACCTGGCAAGACTGACATCCGCTTCGAGGTTGATGATGGTGTGGTTGCAGGTATCCCTGTTCCGCTGGGCCTTCCTGGTGACTTTGTAGCAAGGGATGATGACCTACTGTGGTCTGGTGTGCCAGGCTGAATAGAAACCTGGGGTTGCCCTTTACTCGGAGGTTGCAATGATTTAGTTTTAGCTGCTCTCGAGGCAGTGGTACCTCTTGCTCCATCCATATAACTTGGAACTCCTGTACTGTTCAATCTTGCAGATGCATTGGCAGCATCCGACAATGATTGTAATGATGTACTTGGAGCAAGACTCGGACGTCGTCTTTGTGTGGCCCCTGCCTTGCTTGAGCTATCCGACTCAGCACCTCCTACAGATCTGCGCGGTATTCTAGCAGCAGGCGCATTGGAGGCAGCACTTCCAGATATCGGAGGATATTGATTTCGTCGAGTTCGAACGGCTAGAGGAGCAGATGGCGGGTCCATATTCCCCGATGCAGTTGAAGAAGCTGTTGAAGATATGCTACCTTGACGATTGCTCACACTCTGCCTACGTTGAAAAGAGGAGGTTCTCGCGGGTCGTGGTCCAGACACTCCACGCGCAGAACCTATTCCTCGCCCATTGTTCATGGATGCTTTAATTTCCCCCATTGAAGGCTTCTCTCTCGGCATTGAATCTCCCCCACCTGTTGCCGGATATTGTGCTGTGAGCTGTAGTTCATTGGAGATGCTAGTCTGCAGGTCGTCAAAACTGGGAGAAGGCAAAAAGTCGTAAGAAGCCGAATTATCGTCGTTGTGACCTCCAAATGTAAATAGGGTATGATTGTTTCGTTGTGGAGCATGCAGTGTCGGCTCTGTCCCAGCTATCAGACGCGAACCTCCTGTGCCTACACTGGGAGGATAATTCTCAGAAATCCTTCTGTTCAAAGTATCAGTAAATATGAGCGCCTCGAATGGCTCCCCTCTTGAAGGTTGGGAATCTTACTGTCTTGTGGGTGAAAGGTCGGGTCGTGGACCTGAAGGAGCCCTCTGTTCCCGAATCATGAATAAGGAACTAAAGTCACTGGGGGAAGCCAGCGACAGAAATTAATGTCGAGTAAAGGATTTTGCTTTTCCTTGAGCTCAGTCCGTTTAAGGGCCGAGTTTGTCGATGGACTATCTCATTTCAAATGGCCGTCGTAGGGTATAACTAGTAAACAGGGAAGTCGTTGTAAATGGGAACCCAGTAAAATGCAGAGGAAAGCTATCGGTAACAGTGTCTCTCGAGAGTCAAGATCTAATTTTTTTTCCTTCTCCACAGAAATAAAGCGCGTCAATTGATGTGATGGTATCCTCTTTTTGGATTCGAAGATTGGAAGATATCTCGAGGAATGGCTCGTGGATTGTGTTTAGTGGTGAAATGAAGGTAGCGGTGGATGTTGTATTGTATTGTATTTTTTTTTATTGTATGGAGAGTCAGTCTCTCTGAGGCTGCAGATAGACTAAGAGAAGTTGAACAATATTTTGGGGATGGATTGCAAGCCTGTACCTGTACGTTCCCGTTACTGGTTACTGGTACTGCGAATGGGATAAAAGCTTGATGTTTCCCGTACCTTTTCGAGAGTCGAGGTGGCTCAGGGAAGTCAGGTCAGGGTGGTAAGGGTTGGGGGGTTTATGATCAAGGTCTTTGCCGTTGCCTATAGAAACAAAAAGTGGATCTAGATTCTGGATGGAGTTGAGTGAGAGTGAGTGAGGGAGTTGGTGACTGAGTGATTGACTGTACTTGGAGACTGGGGACTGGGCGACTGAATGACTGGAAGACTGGATGACTGACTGGGCGACAGGAAGACTAGAAGACTAGAAGACTGAGGTCCTTTTCTTTTGGTACCGTTATGTTTATGTACGAGTAGTATGTGAGTATGTGAGTATGTGAGTATGTGAGCAGTATGTAAGTATGTGAGCAGTATGTACGAGTAGTATGTGAGCAGTATGTACGAGTAGTATGTACAGTATCTCAGCATGTACCATGTACGCAGGAAGGGCACTCTCTTTTCTTTTTGCTACGATACATGTAACAAGATGACTTTTGAACCTATCAAAATTGGAATCGATGCAACAATAAAATCGCAAAATCATCAAAATCATCAAAATCCCATCCATGAGCCAATGAAACCACAGGACACCCGAGTAAGATGGAGTACACTTAAATATGTTGAGCCTATCAAAATTGGAAGAAATTTACAAACTCCATTCAATGAACCAAACTAATACAATGTAGTACAGTGTAATAAATAGAATGCTACCTAGGAGAGACCGTAGTAGGGACTGCAATGAATTCTGATCATCTCGGCGGTCAAGGTGGCTTGGAAGTTGTTATCTTTCTTATTATTCACTCTAGAGTCTTGAGTCTTGAGTCTGCACCTGCTCCTGCTCCTGCTCCTGCTCCTCGAACAACGCCAACGCCTCCCTCACCCCTCACATCTTCTCCTCCTTGTAGCTATCTTGAGACCATCAATAAAGTTAATTCACAAATTCGACAGGACGACGAACTCTTTCCAGGAGACCCAAGCAATGCAATCACAACTTGATTACCACTGTCAATGCTTTCAATGCTTCCTCGCTATAGGGAAGGATTATTTGATAATGATATCGTGGATTAATGAGGACACCCATGTATGGATGGCTGTATAGATTGTTTACGGGGTCGAGTAATCTGCATTTAGTATATACCGAGTATCCAATATTGATGGTCTGGTGGAGGAAGTTCCAGGTTGAAGAATGCTCGATATCGTGGTATATATGGTATGTCTAATAATTCACGATGACTCTTGGGCGTAAAGGTATATTATGTGAATGATGGGATGTATGGAGTTCTCAATCTATCTGCTCCGTAGCATGCAAATTGATACATGGCAAATTGGACTGGTAAGATTATGAGTGTAGGGTTTCTGAAGTTAGTGCTCGAGTACCCAGTATGCAAGTTGATACCCAGGCAAAAGTATCTCCCTACCTAGGTATAAATTCTATCTATATCTATCGTAGCATCCAAATCGATATCGCAGGAGTGCAAGTAAATAACAGACTTTCTCCTTCCATCTTACAAAGTTTAATCTGATCTGCATTTGTGCCGAGTGAGCCCTCTTCCTCTCCTCCCCTCTGGTGCTCCCCTCTCTAAAATTCCTATTCCTAATACATGCAATCTTATGGAGACTACGGTATGCTCCATGGAGGTTTCTGCCCTACTCGGCTTCAGATTTTTGTACACCATGGCAACACCAGCTAATTCCTCCACTAATGTATATCGCATGTAGGGAGTCTCTAGACATCAAATTCTGTGAGGTACAGATCCACCTAAAGCATAGAGAATGTACAACAATGCAAACAGGATGTCACACCCCTTTTTCCCAAGATGCTGTTTTCATCCATCAAAGCATCACCTGCTTCCGTCACCAAATACTAACAAGTCGGTAGGTAAGACCAAGCCAGTGGCCTTTCTTCTTGCTTGTTAGTTTGTGAGCCCCTGACACGTGCAGGCAATGTTTTGAGTAGGAAAAATATTCCGAATGATAAGAAGATTACCCAGTTAAAAGATTGATAAAGGCTAAAACCATGTTTCAACGACAAGAACTTGGGTTTGAAGCCGTGATATGGATTGTACTCTCGCAGAATGTTTCTGGGCGAAAGAAAGCATGGTACTGTACTCCTTCATGTATAATCTACAGCTGGAGCTTGAAAAAGGGGTTACACAACAGCATAAGCGGTATCGTCTAGCCGTTATTGTGATCATGGATTAACAGCGTTTTATACTTATTTATTGCCGTTTTCCTCCATCCCGAGATCATTTCTTATGATTTCTGGGGAATCTTCAATTGATTCCCGAATCCCAAAAGTACTGAACTGATCCCATATTCAAGACATGCCCAATAAACTTAAATCATAGCTCCTTGCGTGGATAAGAAGTCTATTACGACGCGACGGGACGGTAAGACGGAACGAAGGGAATTTATTTTTTTCGAATTAGTCGAAATTTAGTCAAGTCCGAAATCCAACCCCTTCAGCCCAATTGCGGGTGGTCGGTGGTCGGTGGTCGGCGGCAAAAACGTCATGCCTTCTCTTCCCGCAGGTAGGTTCATCGATCGCTAAGCGCGTCAACTTCAAACACCAAGATGTTTGAGCTTCGTAGACAAACATTATAGAATTGGTCAAACCTCAACTTAATCTTCACAACTGGATTCACTTTTCAATTAATTTGAAGCATGTTATTCAATTACCACATGGGCTGGAACATTATTATCAGTGAAGAAACGAAACACTGCGACTGAACGCTTTCTTCTATGAATAGATTACCCCCTCATAGATCTTTATAAGGATCGGTGGAATTCCAACTCAGACACAACCCGTCAATTTCCGCGAAGCAGTCTAATCCTTCAAAAAGTCTCGGAAGATGGATGAGTTTACGGCAAATGCGTTTGTGAATCGTGATGATCCTATCCCGGTGATAAGATTCGATCACACGGACGACCTTAATGACGATGTGGAGGATGCAAACGGAGTGTCTAAGAAAGAAGGGACGCGAGAAAGACTAAGAAGACACAAATCGGAATTGAAGGAGAACTTCAAAAAGGCACAGAGTAAAGCTTCGGAAACTTCGGCAACTGTACAAGATAGATTACTTGAAAAGTACGTCGAAACTCTACATTGCGACGTTGTTCGTCTTAGGACTCTACTGATTACAACAGATTACTACAACAGGTCATACCAGTGGAGGACCTTGGCGAAAATGGAAAAGATACGGCTACTACCCCTCCAAATTTTGTTGAGAGACCTGCTTTCAATATAACGACCATGTCGAATAATTTCAGAAGATTCAATGCGAGAATAGGAGTGGTTTTCGTCTTCCAAGCCAAAGTGATACGTCTACTAAGCTGGAAGCAATGGTCGCATACTCTCTCATTTCTTGCAGTTTATACTTTTGTCTGCCTAGATCCATATCTTCTTACCGTCCTTCCGTTGGCGGTTCTTCTCCTCGCAATCCTCATACCTTCATTCATTGCTCGTCACCCCGCGCCTCCTACAACTATAACTACGGACTCGTTCACATATTCCACAACAGGTCCGCCAATAGCTCCAGCGCCAGTTGTCAAACCTGTTAAAGAGCTTTCTAAAGATTTCTTCCGCAACATGCGCGACCTCCAAAACTGCATGGAAGATTTCTCTCGCCTCCACGATACAATAATTGCTCTAATATCTCCCTCCACAAATTTCTCTAACGAACCACTTTCATCTACTTTGTTTCTTTTCCTTGTAGTAACAGCAGCATTTATGTTCATCGCTTCTCATCTCATGCCATGGCGCTTTATCTTCCTCACAATAGGGTGGACCATTACATCTCTCGGTCATCCAACCATTCAACGCCAAATGATCACAACACATACGACAGTCGTACAACCGCGCGCAAAACCCCTCCAAACTAGTCTCGAAACGTTCATTTCTCATGACATAATCCTCGATTCCTCTCCCGAAACCCGCGAAGTAGAGATCTTCGAGCTCCAAAAACTTTCCCGTGCAGGCGAGTGGGAACATTTTGTATTCAGCAGCTCACCTTATGATCCAATGAGTAGTATGCGAATTGAAACTGGCCGGCCAATCGGATGTCGCTTTTTCGAGGATGTAAAAAGCCCGAGAGGTTGGGAATGGAGTGAAAAGAAATGGGCGTTGGATTTGTGGAGTAGAGAATGGGTTGAAGAAAGGATTATTACAGGTGTAGAGGTGGAAACGGAGGGTGAAAGATGGGTTTATGATATTAGGTACGAGGGACAAGAGGAGGATTCCGTGGGCGTCATGGATACGGGGAGTACTAGTAATCTAGGAAGTATGAGAGGGAAGAAAGGCGTTCCGATTAGTTGGGAGGAATCGAGTGAGGTTGACGGGGCTGGTAGGAGGGGAGAATGGAGGAGGAGAAGATGGGTTCGAATGGTTAAGAGAAGATGGGAAAATCATGAAGCGGAGGTCGAAGATGAGAAGAAATAGTCGATGTATGCTTGGATACCATGATTTTATGAAATCCCGGCGTGGATAAATGGATGGTGTTTTGGTAGTCTGTGATTTTTAGCGTACAAATTGGGGTATGGAGGGTTTGGGTAAGGGTCTGGGAAAGAGGCAATGGGACTGGGGATGTGGCAATGGGATTGGGGATGAGGCATATATATACCATGATGCAGGTTTCACCAACTTATGCTTGTTACTCTCTACACAACTGTAGACAGATTTTAGCGAACAGATTAACATAAACTATAAGAAAAACTGGCAATATCTATTCTCAAGTCAGGTTGAGTATTATATCACTATTGAACAAAAAGCTTTAAGAACGACATACTTTTTTTTTCCCTATCTGGTTATCGGTAATCTAATTATAACTATGCGCAAAACATCACCGTGATACCAACACTCTAGTAGTGTGTTGTACATAGTATACAGTATCCAAGCATCCCCCCTTCTCATCCTCATTCTCCTTCTCGTCCCTATTCTCGCTTCGTTTCTTCATGTGTAGGATATAACGAAACTCCCCAAATCAACAACCCCGCACTTCGCACATCTATCTCCTTCCTCACTCACACGTGCAAAACCCCCACTATATTCTTAAGCACTTCATACTGTGTCTGACGAAAATCATCCGTGATCAATAGATTCTGCGTCGCTTGGAAATTGAGCAGTTGTTTGGTTTGCGGGGTCCAGGGGGGCCAGATGAGGAGTTGCGTTGTATTTGCGCTTGCAGTTGTATTTGTATTTGTGCTAGGGTAGGAATTATGATTTTCGCCCGCGCTGCCATACCCATGCTGATGTGGGCCGCGATTCGGATCGAGCGTGTGCAGGAAATTGAGGTAGTATTTCTGGATGGATTGTTGGGGGAACCCGAGGGATTGGCCGTAGACGATGGCGATGTCGCTTCCGTGGAAGGTGCCCAGAAGGGGGGTGCCGTGGCCGTAGCTGGAGAGGTAGGAGTAGATGTTTACGTGTGGGTGGATGTGGGATGCGTAGGAGAGGAAGAGGCGGCGGGAAAGGGTGAAGACGATGTCGCCGAGGAGGGCGGCGAGACGTTTGTATTGTGGGTAGATGTTCCAGCTTGGGCCGGTGTTGAAGGGGGAGCCGGCGGAGGGGTCGTCGGGGTAGGCGGCGACGAGGGAGGCGATTTTGGAAGGGGGGGCGGAGGGGAAGAAGATGGTTTGGAGGTAGTTGGTTAGGAGGGTGGTGGTGGTGAGGTTTGTTTGGGCGAGAGCGAAGTATGTTCCTTCGTCTTCTTGGTCGCCGATTATGAAGGGGACGGGGGCGAAGTGGCCGTGGGAAGCGAGGATTTCGGGGGAGGCAGGGAGAACGCCGTTTTTGTGGTCGGGGCGTGGGAGATAGGAGAGTGCGAGGGATGTGTAGGATGTGTAGGAGGGGGGAGTTAGAGTTGCGGCGAGAAATGTTTCGTAAGGGAGGGCGCGGAGACATTTGAGTGTGTGGGTGGAATTTTGACAGCCACCCGCAAGCACGACTTGGTCGTATACTGCTTGTGCGCGCGGACTATCGACTGTTTGGGCGGGAGTGATGGAGCCGGAATCCATGATTGCACCGCGGAATAGGGGCTTGTTTTTGTAATGGTATTGGCCGCCATAGAGAGCCATTTGATCAAATACTGAAATTGAACCTGCGGATTCACCCCATATGGTGACTTTGTTGGGATCGCCTCCAAAAGAAGCGATATTGTCGGCAACCCATTGGAGACCTAATCTTTGATCCAATAAGCCGAGATTAGAAGACCCATCTTTGAGGATTTCGGAACCGGCTAGGAATCCAAAACCTCCTAGGCGATAATTTACAGCTACGTAGATGAAAGGCTGGGAACTCGAAATGGAAGTTTGAAGAAGTTGTGTTGCGTCAAAAGATTGAGTGGAGCCGCCTGCAAAAGCGCCGCCATATATCCAAAAGAGCACAGGGAGTTTAGAGTGTCTAGTGATGTTTGAGGGGCGTTGGATGTTGAGTGTTAGACAATCCTCGCCGACGGGACCGGAGACCGAACCTTGGGGACAAGCTGTGGGGACACTGGTTGCTTGGATAGTTCCCAGGTGTTTGGTGATACTTTTGGGTGGTTTCAAGCGAAGAGATCGGGTGGGCGGTTGGGCATAGGGAATTCCCTTGAATGTGTCAATCCCTGATGTGCTAGACCCGATGATTTTGGCATGTGATATTTGAACTGTAGGTGCCAATTGACGTCTCTCTGGAGCAGGCAGGGCCACAGTGAGAGAAATCAAGAGCCATGTGGTGATACCCTGGAGAAGCATATTGTTCAATTTCAAAGACAGACACTTCAGCTTGAAATATGATTCCCGCAACGATCAATGAATCATCTTGATAAGATCTTAGACAGAATCAGAACTATATACCCCATCTTCTTTCAGTAAACGCGGGGAACATGTAAAGAAGCTATTGATGCGCTCCTCCAAAGCCATTGCTCTGAATTCGGCCAATCCCCGGCTTGGTATGCATCGGAAACTGTTCCAATTTGAGAAAGATCTGAGATGGTGAATAACTTCATTGGGATCGCAGTTATATCCATGTATTTTATCCGGCATCTATTGCCACGAGAATAAAACAGAAGAGCGAAATGCAGGGTGCAAACTGGACGTATAATACATGTAAATAGAAATCACTAGATTTCAAATTCCAAGAGTAGAGATACGCATCAGATGCAATGATTTGATGGATACGATACTTGGGATATGATTGGTTGATCTGGTAGACAACCTGGTAGGTCAAGTGGCTCATCCGAGGTACTTTCTTTCTTCTCCGCGTTCGCACTTCGTCACCTTCCTTGCTGCTGTTGTCTCGAAGAGGAATATGTCGATTTCCATGATCAAGATTAGAATTCTCGATTTTGAGCTTTAGGGAAATATCCCCCGCCAATTCTCATCGGGGTTATACAGTGTTTGTAAATGGGGGACCAATCTTCTAAGCGATAAATACACATTCCACATAGGTACTCTCCCTCCTCCTTCTGCAAGTGTTGATTAGAATAGAAGGGAAGAAAGTTAGAACTTAACATCAGCCAGAAATGGACAAAGCATTCTCATAGACTTATCATGGTCTTTATCAACAGCAATGAATTAATTTGATATCTAATTCGTTGTTTCTCCAGTGAGCCTCTATGCGGTTTGAAAACATGCACATTTGTACAATTCGTCCTGGTGAGTATGAGTAAAACTTACGCAATGCTCTGTGATATACGTCGATGCCTGAGTACAGTTGAATTTGGTGTGGCTTTAGCTATTACTATCCCCCTCGTTGCAATATACTTATCTGATGCCAGTGACGAGAGTACGAATTGATGAAAAGAATCATCGAATCCACACAAGTGAAGTGTACAATCCAAGCATCCGAAAGCTTTGGATTGCAGTCCGGACATGCTAGTAATTCAAGAACGCTAATTGGTTGATTGAACCTCGGTATTTTGCCCCCGTTCCCCAGGTTTCGGTACATTCCCCACTGCCAATAGTAATCACGGCGCGTTCCAATGATTCCGAATCCCCAGGTTACGCTGACTCTGTCTGTATCTTTCTTTTCTTCTCCTTTCATGCTCTGATTCTCTCATTTATTATCTTATCTCACGCCGAAGTTATTTACTATCATCCATTCACTTACCTCCAACACATTACAATGCCTCACCACACCCTCACGCGAGACGAAGTCTCCAAAAATAACACCGAGGAATCTCTCTGGTTTATAATCGACAGCAAGGTCTACGATGTCACTGAATTCGTCGATGCTCATCCAGGAGGAGAATCCGTCTTAAAACAAGTTGGCGGCACAGACGCAACCGAAGCATTCTATAACCTACATCGACAAGAAGTCCTACAAAAATACTCGAATTTATGTATTGGCACAATTGAAGGCGAAAAATCGCAAGTTATTGAACAGAATGTCGGGGATTTGAGTGTCGTGCCATATGGAGAACCTACTTGGCTAACTCCACAGTTTAAGAGTCCTTATTATAATGAAAGTCACAGGCGGTTGCAAAAGGCAATGAGAGTTTTCACGGATCAATATGTCACCCCCGTTGCGCAGGAGTGCGAAAAAACCGGGGCACACATTCCACAACACTTGATTGATCGAATGTCGAAGATGGGGATCTTACATATGAGATTGGGCCCAGGGAAACACTTACATGGTGTTAACCTTATGGATGGCGCCGTGAAGGGGGAGGAGTTCGATTATTTTCATGACATGATCGTTGGACAGGAGATGGTTCGCGCTAATGCAAGAGGATTTCAAGATGGGAATATGGTTAGTTATAAATCCATGTTTTTATATAGAGCCTACTCTATATTTCAATGCATGTCTAACACTTAATCCCAGGCTGGTATGACTATTTCTCTAACGGCAGTTCTTCAATTTGCCAACGATGAGGCATGGAAGAACAAAATTGCCGCAGAGGTGTTTAGTGGGAAGAAGAAGATTTGCTTGGCCATCACCGAAGCATTTGCCGGGTCTGATGTCGCAGGTATTCGAACAACCGCAGAGAAAACTAAAGATGGCAAACACTATATCGTAAATGGTACTAAGAAATGGATCACCAACGGAGTCTTTTGCGATTACTTCGTCACTGGTGTTAAAACAGGTACTATTAAATATTACTTCTCATGTCTAATCGCCTACTAACAAACTGTCTAGATAAGGGACTGTCTGTTGTATTGATTGAAAGAGGCGAGGGTGTAGAGACAACACCAATAAAAACCTCCTACTCACCTACAGCTGGAACTGCCTATGTCACTTTCGATAACGTAAAGGTACCAGTTGAGAATCTCTTGGGAGTAGAGAACAAGGGTATCCACGTCATCCTTAGTAACTTCAACCATGAAAGATGGATGATGGCTAGTGGTGTCACTCGCATGATGCGACTAGCAACAGAGGAATGTATCAAATGGAGTAATCAACGATTGGTGTTTGGCAAGAAATTGACTGATCAGCCAGTCATTCGACAAAAGTAAGTTTTGCTTCGTCAAGTGCAAATGAAACTCCCAACTGACCTTCCCAGGCTTGCTAAGATGATATCTCACTGTGAGGCAAACCAAGCATGGTTGGAGAATATCACATATCAGATGACTTTGATGCCATACAAACAACAAGCGACTCATCTCGCGGGCCCAATAGGTCTCCTTAAAATGTTCGCTACCCGTTCAGCTCATGAATGTGCAGATGAAGCTGTGCAGATTTTTGGTGGACGTGCGCTTACGCAGAGTGGGATGGGAAGAACCATTGAGATGTTCCATAGAACGTGAGTATCCATGCTATGAGAAGTTCTCACCGGAAATCTCTTGCTAATATCTTATAGGTACAAATTCGATGCTATCTTGGGTGGAGCCGAGGAGGTATTGGGCGATTTGGGAGTAAGGCAGGCCCTCAAAAATATGCCAAAGAGTATGTTGTAGATGATCATTCGGACACAAGATCAGAAACATCAGAAAAACGAAGATATACTCAATTTTAAGACTCGAAAAGTTCTTCAGCATTATCTCTCCATATTAATTTCAATTACATAGATTTATTCTATCAGACCCAATCAGATTCGGATTTCTAAATCTTAGTCTAGGCCTAAGTCAAATGCTCTACCCCGAGGGCCGAATCATACTTATTAATAAAACATTTACCCTACGCGTTATATTCTATGCATCTTCAATTATTTTGCCGAGTAGGTAGATATAGTAAGTTTGTTGACTCTCTAAAAACCACTAATTTACAGCATTCGGCTCGGGCCAGTACGCAAAATAGTTTATGTGATTCTGTATTGAGGTCGTAGGCATATATACTGCTACCAATCAGAATAAGAATCAGTCGCCACGTCAGTACCACACCGAAATGGCTATGCATAGCCTTCAGCAAGCAATTGTAGTGGTGTTGGGTATCGATACGTGTATTTATACATAGAAAATGTATACAAATGTGCCGAAAGGAGGAATGAGGCAAATTGCAGAATGAAGCCTCACTTTCCCGAAATCAAAAATCTGCCTCGAACGAGGCTTCTCAAACGAAGTACACGTCAGGATTGAGCCTCTACTACGTGCAAGCCTTTGACTTGTTGCCTCTCACTGTAAGTGCGGAATCATAAAACGATATTATTGAACCTCAACGTCGCAAATAGTGAAACTCAAAGCATCAATTATCGACATACAATATATCTCATACGAGTCTTATATCACTCATTTGTTCCATTTCAGAAGCTCTTGCAATGGCTGCCAGTTCAATATACTGCGATTTGAACACATCTCGACAGGAAATCAGGCTGCTCGAAATCATTGCTACTGATCCAAGCATCATCTGCAAAACGAGAGTCGTCTCACTCCTGGAATCCCCTACTTTTGTTGCGCTTTCCTACCAATGGGGTAATCCAGCGATGACCGAAGAGATCACAGTTAATAACACAACACTGTTCGTTACCAAGAGCCTTGCAGACGCCCTTAAATATGTACCAATGCATTGGCAAGAAATGGAGAAGATGTCGGAAGGCAGTATCGGGCTTCTTCTCTTATGGGCAGATGCAATCTGCATAAATCAACAAGATATTGAAGAGAAAAATCACCAAGTCCCTCTAATGAAGAAAATTTATTCGTCAGCAGAGTACACTTTTTGCTCATTGATGTCGGAGAAATCATCGTTGATTGAAACAGCGATTGATACTATCAACACATTATGTGCTGGCGCATTCAAGAGTGGATTCAAACCAGATCTAGATCATCAAGATGCGAAAATAGATTGGATGCTCAATGACCTGGAGTTATTTGGGACCGACCCTAAATATGCACTTTTTCCAAAACAAAATGACGGCTCGGAATTCGATGAGTGGATCGTTCGTAGTGGTAACAAAGCTCGAACAGCCTTGCAAGAGTTCATGGATCTCCAATACTGGGAGCGTGCCTGGATATACCAAGAGCTTGTACTTTCAAAAGACCTAGTCTTCTTTCATACATCTGAGCGTACTTTCTTGCACGTACTCAAGTTCGTAGCTCTCTGGGCAGGGTTCCTAGAGATGCAAACTAGACCACGAAAAATCGACAGCTATCTATGGAAGACTATCATAGATCTTTCTTCCTTCAAACCCTTAGTGATGATCAAACAATCCCGATTATTGATCATCACAAAGAAGACCGTAACCTCTCAGGATAGAGATTTATATCTTGCACTGTTACGATTGCAAGACTTAATAAGCACAGAATTAAAAGCGACAGATCCAAAGGACCACGTCTATGCCTTACAGGGACTTACAGGTTCAAATCTCATACCAGATTATAGTTCTAATACATCTGTCGCTGACGTATATATCGAATTTTGCGTCGAAGGCGTCGAAACTTTACGACGTTCCAATCTCCCGTTTTTGTACTTCCTTCGTGGCGCTGGTTATGCGAATAAAGCTCCGGAAGGCCCTGAACTGCCTTCCTGGGTACCGAATTATCCCGGTTGTTCTACCAATGGAAATGCATATCAGCCTTCCTATCTGGTTTCCTCGACTGAGAAGCGCAACATGCACCGAAGTAATTTCAATAATAGGGCGAACGACATCTCAATCTGCAAACAAAGTCTCTTTGCTCCTGCACTAGTCATTGCATCACTCGACGATACGAGTGATGTCTTGGGAGAAGCTAAGTCAGCGCCAGAATTTGCTTCTTCCGTTGTCGAAGTCATAAACTATAGGCGGGTATTCGGTGACCGACATCCATTGCTTAAACTCGCAAGTGCTCTCTGGGGTAAAAATATTGAAGAAGAAGTCTGGGAATCTCCCGAAGTTTTTCGGGTGATTCGATTTTTGCAGACTACTCTTCCACATTCTGAAGTTACGTTTAGTTTCGACTTTTTGGATAGGATTCATCTTGGGTGGATTTGGCTGGTGAAGTTGACAGGTTTCGATCGTGACTTGGTTTCTACCATTTTGGATTCATTGGCTGTCGAAGATCCCAAGACCATACCAAAGCTGGAGCATCCGTATCCAAGCGTCATACAGTTTCTCCGAAGACTACTGGACCATGAAACGGGAGATTATTGGCATGGCTTGTCATCTACGGCTGGTGACCTATATACCTTGACAAAATCGGGTGGTATGCGGGTTGCACGCACTGCAAGTGAGACCTACAGCGAGTTCAGCATCGTTCCGGCTGCGGCATTGAAGGGTGATGTTATAGTCTTTCTTGCGGGAAGTGAGAAACTTCACTTGGTTCGAAGGGTGGAAGACCACTACGTCTATATTGGCGAAGCTGGAGATATCGAAGCATTGGTAACTCCGATGCTAAATAAGGTCAGCGCTGGTGAGGAGGATTTTCAAGTTATAGAAATTCGATAGTGAGCACCGGATGGATATCAATAACTAGGGCACTCGATTCGTATCATTGGACGCCTACGATCGGCACCATCCAATGTTGGGTCGACGTGCGCTGAGTCCGTGGCTTGAGCATACAACTGTAGTGCCGTCAATTTCCATTTTCGAAACGGGTATACATCACTGTGATAAAGTGAAACCATTGAGAACATGAATTTGATAGTGGAGGGAAGTTGTGGAAGAAGTCTGAATTCATGAGGTCTTTCGGCATATATTGGTTTTCGGCGGTGGAAGGGTTATGGAGAACGCGATACATATAATTACACCCGGTTTCTTAACACATGTCGGAAATGTAGATTTTGACTCTCTTATTGATGTATACTCGTAATTCGGTCTTGTTGTATAAGAAATGAAAGGACCCTCTCCAAAAATAATACGATGATGTATCAAAGCCTAGTATGGATACGGTCTGACAAAACCCAGGAAGACCCTCGACCTTTGCTAAGATTAATCGTGGATAGGGTCAATTTTAGAAACTCTTACCAAATGCTTATCGCTCTTATCGGAAGGACCCCGCCATCCCCCATTCCTGCTTTGGTGCACCACCAACTACCTACCTATTCTGTAATCTTTAGCGATGATTCATTATACCAAAGTGATTTGAGATTGATATTCGAAGATTTGTTAGTGGAGTGAGGAGATAATTAGAAATTAGTTTGTGTCCACTCTTTGAGCTTTCAGATACTCAAATAGTTGTGTTAGCCACTTCCCAAGCTTACCGAGCTATTCTGCTTCTCCTGTCATCAAGCTCTTATATGTCAACAATCCATCAATCAAGTCAAATTGCTCTACAATCATGTCTAATAGAGTCAGAGACCTCCCATGGCCATCCACAATACCAGACGATGAATATGCCGAAATAGCTGCTGGTCTTCCTGCAAAAGATGAACCGTTCATTAACAAGTACATTGGTGGAAGGGAAGCACTCATAGACCAGGAAAAACAGCAGCGCAGTGGTTCGTAACATCTCTTCATACTACAAATTCGTCACTTACTTATATTTTTGACGACAGACTATGCATTCAGATCCGCTCTCTCACCTCTTGCGCAAGAAGCCTGCAACATCGTCTCCCGAATCCGTCTCGAAGAACAAGCCTCGACGTGGACTTCAGAATTCGAGGACCATGTTGCGCAAGAAACGGGGAAGAATATATATCCAGGTATGATGTTCAGTCTGGCAAAGGAAAGGATGGAGAAGACGAAATTATGGCAGATTGTGAAAAAGATGCCCAAGGGCGCGCTTTTGCATGCGCATATGGATGCGATGGTTGATTATGATTTCTTGTTTGAAGAAATGCTGAAGACAGAGGGCATGTGCATTTTCTGTGATCGGGCTTTAGATTCTCCTGGAAGTAGGGAGGCGGGGCCCGTTAAGTTTAGGTTCAGGAAGAAGGGAGATGGAGAAGGTGCAGAAATTTGGAAGGAGGGGTATAAACCATTTAGCTTTGTGCCCTTGAAGGATGCTGCGGAGGCTTTTCCTGAAGGTGGACGAGAGGGATTCTTGCGTTGGCTTCGAAGTCGATGCACTATCACTGATACCGAATCTATCGAACATCATCACGGTGTTGATGCAGTCTGGAGAAAATTCTCTTCGGTTTTTACGATTTTGAACACAGTCATCTTCTATGAGCCTATATTCAAGGCATTCATGAAGAGAATGATGCAGACTTTACTTGCTGATGGTGTCAAATGGGTGGATTTACGACTGGCTTTCACATTCTTTTATTACCGTGAAGGTCAAGAGATAGCAGATGATACATACAGCAACATGTTCAAAGTTTTCGGAGAGGAAATTGAGAAGTTCAAGGCATCAGAAGAGGGTAAGGGATTCTGGGGAGCAAGGATGATTTGGACTGGTCTTCGAGTTTTGGATACAAGAAAGATCGTAGAAGATATGGATGCTTGTTTAACAATCAAGATGACTTACCCGGATCTCATATCCGGATATGATCTTGTTGGTCAAGAAGATGCTGGAAGACCATTGAAAGATCTTCTGCCAGAGCTTTTCTGGTTCAAGAAGCAGTGTGCGCAAGAAGGAGTCGAAATCCCTTTCTTCTTTCATGCTGGAGAATGTCTTGGTGATGGTAGCGATACTGATCAGAATCTCTTCGATGCTGTTCTACTCGGAACTCGTCGCATTGGTCATGGATTTTCCTTATACAAGCATCCTTTATTGATTGATTTGGTCAAGGAAAAGAAAATTCTCGTAGAGAGTTGTCCAATTTCGAACGAGGTCCTTCGCCTCTGCGCTTCGATCATGTCACATCCTCTACCAGCGCTTCTCGCACGAGGAGTTTCCTGCTCTCTCTGTAACGATGACCCTTCGATTCTTGGTCAGGATGTTAATGGTATGACGCATGATTTCTGGCAAGCTCTGCAAGGCTGGGATAATCTTGGACTTGCTGGCCTAGGTTCACTGGCTGAAAACAGTGTAAGATGGGCAGCATTTGAGGATCAAAGCGCTGGCAAATGGTTAGAAGATGTTAAGGAAGCTTCGATGGGTAACGGTGTGAGAGCGAAGAGATTGCAAGAATGGAGCGTGGAGTGGGAACAATTTTGCTTGTGGATAGTAACGGAGTTTGGAGACGATGAAGATAGTGCGAGAAAAATCAGGGAAGATGGGGATGGTCCATTGGCTGCTCAGGATTAAATTGAGCATGTCCGATGATAAGATTGTCCTTTTCGGAGTTGATGGGTTTTGCTTTAGGAAAGCATGTGCATTCAACACGGCGATTTAGGTCATGATTAGGGAGGGTCACGATACCCTCGACTGGAAGTCGAAATTCAACATTATAATCATCTATATAGAAATCAGATAAAAACAGCTCCTTTCGAAGCTTTTGTTATTTCAGCTAATGCCACGCAATCGTGTAGTTGTACGGAAGTTAAATAGCTCCAAGGTTCCAAGGTTCCCTCATCCATTATGGTCACGCACGAGGGTCATTATTGATTGTACGATTTATGGTTTACACTTTGAATAACAACAATTCTGGTGTGCGTTGTACATGTAGTCATTGTATATAAGTCTTGGAGTCTGTCTTGTATAGAATACTTTTCCTCCTCTCTCTTTTCTTCCATCTCTCTTTCAAAAGCTTCTTCTATTCAGACCCTCCTTCTAAACCTTCTTCCCAAACATCAAAGGGCCCCAGATCATATCATATGATCATACATGGACACTAACGAAACACATAAGGTTAGCTTTATATATAAAACATGGGTATAATAGTTCTATATAAACCTAATGCAGAACAAGAGTGCCCTTACAATATACAAAACCCAAAACCCTCTGCATGATGATTTTCTCGTAGGCTCTGAAACATAGAAGAAATACCTCGTAGAATCTCAATATATGTAGAATATAACAATTGGTTCGACAAGAAAAACGAATCCAATCATTTAGCCAATGCTGTGTACTAATGTGACAGTAAGCCATACCCGCACGAGGAAATTTAAACAGTCTCTTATCGATAAGGACATCGCCCGAAAACAATCACTTGCCCTCCACATACACATCCTAGTTATCTTCTACCTAAATCAACTTTCCACCTTTCCACCCATTACTGAACCATTCAAAGTACCTACCATTAGGTACGGTAAGGAATCTTCATCAACAGTGGCAACGGTCTGTTGACCAATACATTCACTTATCATTATTGATATATTTGTACGGTTGCGACTTTAAAATTTGAGGGTACGGTCAAGTATGATTCCCATCTTGCCCCGGACAATATCAGTGCACAAGGTCGACGTCAGGAGCCGCCCTTCCTCTTCTTAAGATAAAACCATCCATCAAATACGCCGAAACTTCTCATTTTCTTTCTTATCGGTGTTCTTTAAGACACTATTGCTTAGAGGCGTTGATTTCTTCTAATAACTTTTAATAATCCCTTGCATAACGAAGTCGCAAGCAACAATGCCTTCTTATTTCCAATTTTCCTCGATGCCCAAACGATTACTCCAATATGCGCTTTCTAGTTTGGAAGTCTTTGAAACGGATGCATTGGATTTAGAAAATTTGGATATTGCGTGGGGGAAAAATAGCACGTTTGAATTTAAGGATGTTGGGTTGAGATTAAAGGTAGTTATATCACGATCTTGACGTCGAGGATGAGGATGTCATGCTAACATGCAGGATGTAGAAACTCGAGACTTTACTACAACTTCCTTCCACGGTCGCATTAAGTAAAGCGAAAGTTTTACTGCTTCGGCTTACGATACCGGTCGATATATATAGCAGCCCGATATTGGTCGAAGTTGATGGAGTGGATGTGCAGTTGAGGGTTAGGGAGGAGAAGGGTGCATATAATTCACGGACGAACCATGACAGGTTAAGGAAGAGATCTTTATCGAGAAACCAGGAACTAGATCCCACTCTTCCGACTGCAGAGGACATCGCGGCATCATTTCTACAAACAGAATCGAGAGAGGAGAAGGAAGAGTTGGAAGCCGCAATTCTTGGGGAGACGCAGGATGCATCAGAGTCTGTTACATCTAATGAGGGAGGAGACTCACCTGTTGGAACTGGGACTGCTCTCTCTTTACCGGCATTCATGGCTAGATTTTTGCAGGGCATTGTGGACAGGCTACAAGTACGGGTGCATGGGATTACTTTCAATGTGGATCTCGATATTCCTGCAGAAGGGCCGACGCCAAACCGTACCACGGATCCAGTAACAGTTCAGTTGAAGATTGACGATGTCGATATCGAGGGAGTTACGCATGATATTGAGTCTACCCAGAAGAGAGGGGGGAAGGACATAACCTCGTTATTCAAGGAGGGAAAGAGACTGATCTGTCTCAGCAATATTCAAGGAGCACTTATCACAGAGGCAAATTTATTCCAGACTCTCTCTCGATCATCCTCCGTTGTATCGCCAATACCTCCGCACTCTGAGGTAACCGAATCCAGGCGGGCTACAGAAAATAAGCGATCGTCAGAAGAAACACAAACCATATCTGTGGAA